ATGTAGTATAAGACATACAGCGGTTGTAGCAAAGCAATGAACTTAACCAATGTTTCCTAAGTGCTAGGCTAGAATTCTAAACACAGGACAATCTCATTTACTATGGGATTAATCTCAACAGATCCACTCTATTTGTCAAATCCCTCCCTCTCCATCTTGCTTGTTACCTTGGACACTTCAGTGTATCATGTGCCTTTCCCAAACAGCTTTGCTTTCCACTATTAATGATTTTCAAAAACTGTTCTGTCTTGACATCAGGCTACTTGCTTCCCAGAATGTGCTGTAAACTAAATGAATTCCTTTAATAGCAAAGTCTTCACCATCAAGATGGTTTATTCTTAGAGAAATGAAGAGAGGCAGCTATGCTCTTCCTATGCTAACTGCTATGAAGCATAAAGACTTTTTGATTTGCACATTCCAGTATATGAGGGAGGAAATCAAGCCCAGATTAAAGTTTTTACATACTTTCTGACCTGGAACCAATGAAGGGGAATTTGGGACCAGATTTTGCAAGATCCTGCATGAATCTGTGTTATGCATTTCCACATTTATTAAAATGGACAAACAATATGAAATAGTCAAGTGGCAAAAAAAATAAATAAATTCTATTAAGGTTAGTCGCCTACTCCTGTATGTCATTTACTTTCTGGTTTGTATTATTCTTGAGAGAATGCACAAGGAGAATAAAAAATGTCATGAAAGACTAACACCAAAGGCTACTGGCCAGCATCCCTTCTAGTGAGCTTCATAGCTGCAGTAACCAAACTCTTTCTTTTCTCCTTTTCAAAACAGAGTACTTTGCATCTTTCTCATATTCATCTAACTATTCTGATTTTCTTGTGTGAGATAGCTTCATATCAAAAGAGGAGTTTTCTTCTAAGCAATTCTGAGCAAGAATTTCATAAATTAAGGAGCATTCCAAACCAACCATTAATTCCATAATTTCAAAGTTCTTTTTGCATATCATGGCAATATAAATGGAAAACATTATGAACATATTTCTGAAAAAAATACAGTAATTCCACTGGAAATAGAGTAAGTGAGTATTAATTTATAGTAATTCTTAGGTCTCCATATTATAGTAAAGCTAATATAATTTGTGGCATATAATATAATTAAATCTACTAAAGACCATTTCCGCATTGTAAGCCCTTTTCAAAAAGCATGGGCACATCAAATACAGCTAATGAAGTATTAACACAGTTTACACATGATGTCTTTCATGTGGGAATCACAAAGAACTTGACAAAGATTATCTTTCACTACAAAAAATAGCAAGAATCATTATTTAACATTCTGTGTACCAGAAAAGTGAAACGCTCTCTGAAAAAGAAATTTACCAACTATTCTAGCATCACACGTCAAGCAGCTAAACTGGGAATAGAACCTAAAGGTTCTGGCACCTAATTCCCTGTTGAAGGCACTAGGCTACATTACATCCAGTTATACAAAACAGCACTGACATCAGCAGAAGTACAGTTTATCCCCTCTAGCATTTTAGAATGTCAGTCTCCATAACACTCTCAGTGTTTTTTGTTACAACACAGCAACTATTAGATTTAATTGCTATTAATTGTAATTAGGAAATGTAAACAATTCAGTTTAAGCAAATCAATATGTTTTTTTTCTTACAGTATTTCCAATTTAGCATTGACTAGAAATGATGGGAAATTGTGCGTGTGAGAAAAACCTGAATATCTATGAGTTCCAGCCCTATGTTCAAGCCAGAAGTTTCAGAAAAGCATCTGAGCTTTGGATACTTGCTGTGAGCTGGCAGAAAGATAACAGACAATTTTTTCTTACATTTGCTTAAACCAGCCACAACTCTTTTTTAAACAAACAAAACTAAAAGCAGATGTTTAACGGATGCTCAGTATTATCAGTTAACTCCTAATTTCAGAGAAGCAGCTGAGTTTCCAGACACTTATCTAAACTGAACCTCTGAGCTTGACATTTGTCCAATGCCTATTCCAGTACCATAAATCAAGATGGGTTTCTGTGTTATTTTTACCTATCTTCAGTGTAGAATTTTATAGGATTTCCATTCGAATGCCACAGAAAGTACCACCCACCAATTATAACGATTCAAATCAATCAGGTGACTGAAGGAGAAATAGGATCAATAATTATAGGATCTGACAACCTACTGACAACTCATCTCAGAAAAAGTAGATGAAACAGAAATGTCAAAAGATGGGAAGTTAAATTAGACCAAATTAAATGTGTATGATTAGATACCATAAAACATAATATTATAAAGAAAAAGGAGAACAAGGGAACATAAGAAGAAAAGTGGACAAGTAAGTAATCCCTGTGTTTTTGCTCTTTCTAGAATACAAAAAACCTGAAACACGAAGAAGTGTCCAACAAATTTAGTAATTTATACAAATAACTCATTGTCCCAGGACACTGTGCAGGAATATATCCTGTCTTTTTAAAAAATATATACATTATTCATAAACATAATGAATGTTTAAACATTCTGTTACTTTGACAAAGATAAATAGATCTCGATTTCCATATTGATAGGCATAAACAGGGCAAATATTTGGAGGAATACGTTTTTCTATTTGAAATGATAATGCACACTTGAATTGCAATTTTCTCTAAAGCAGAACTAATCTTCTTCCAAGATCAATTGGGTATTTTTATCACATTCCACTCATCAGAAAGTAGGGTAGCTCAGCTTTGCAGGAGAAACCAGGTACTGTGTTGCCTTTATTTTTGGGGACTGTGGTGATATGCATTTGCTATTCCTTCTGCTGGTTTTAGCTGGCGTGGCGTTAACTTTCTTCATAGCAGCTCATATGGTGCTGTGTATTGGATTTGTGACCAAAACAGTGTTGATAACATACCCATGTTCTAGCTATTGCTGAACAGTGCTTGCACAGCATCAAGGCCTTCTCTATATCCAACGCTGACCCCCAGAAAGTACGCTGGGGGTGCACAAGAAGTTGGGAGGGGCCACAGCTGGGACAGCTGGCCGAATCGATCAAAGGGATAACCCATACCATATGACATCATGCTCAGCAATAAATCTGAGGAAAGAAGGAGGAAGGGGGGGAAGTTCAGAGTTATGGTGTTTATCTTCCCAAGTAGTGGTTATGTGTGATGGAGCCCTACTTTTCTGGAAATAGCTGAACACCTGCCTGCCGATGGGAAGTAGTGAATTAATTCCTTATTTTGCTTTGCTTGTGCACGCAGCTTTTGCTTTCCCTATTAAATTGTCTTTATCTCAACCCATGAGTTTTCTCTCTTTTACCCTTCCGACCCTTTTTCCAGCCCCACCGAGGGGGAATGAGTGAGCAGCTCTGTGTGGTGCTTAGCTGCCTACCAGACTAACCACAACAGTCCTCAAGAGATCCAGGGTGTAATAAGAATTACAGAATCTGTGATATGATCATGGAAGACACCATTTGGTTAGGGTCTTGGCAAGACCTGGGCAAAATTGAATTATGTCCAGATCTATACCTGAGTCTATCATTTTGGCTGCTCTGCTCTGATGCATTTCTGGCTAGTAGTGAGGAAAGAATACAGACTGTTCATTTCTGAGCTGCTCTAACAGGGTAATTCATACAATGCAATGAATCAATTAATCTATACAAGACACAATTACACTGATCTGCTACAATATGGCAAGCAAGATCAAGAAGCATGCTGGAGATCATAATGGTTCTGTAGAAATATATATAGTACTATCTCAATCTTGATGTTATTGTTTAACTGAAGTAAGTTGGAAAGACATTACAACTGTCCTGCAGTTGACATAAAGATTTCCATTATATTTTCTTTGTTTTACAAGTTCTGTGGCAAGAAATTTGCAGCTTTAATATGTCCAAATACACTTGCAACTAAAAGAAAAAAATATATCAAATAAATATTTCCATTGAGCTCCATGGCCTGGGAGAAGGGTGAAGAAGAATATTAGCTTATTTAACAGTACAATTTAACAGGGACTGCTACTTCTAAAACACCGTTTTCACTTATCAAAGTATTTAATACCATAGCCTCATGAAATAAAGTTATTAAAAATACATTAGGACAATCTTTATAAAAAGGATTAAGCTAATTCATAAATTATTACAACAATCTGAAGAATCACTAATAGTAAGTAAACATTCTGACTGGATTAGTAGATTCAGATAGTTCACTTGAGTTCTCAAACAGTAAATTGTTAAACTGTTCACAATTTCTGTGAGAAATACTAGCCCCTTGGTAATATTTAATTCTTAACAATTCTTAATATAGGCATCATAAAATGCACCACTTACTCTCTTTACCCAAATAGTCTGTACTCCTACAACCTGGGGAAAAAAAAATCTATTCCCTTGCCTATTTTGCACAGCTCCTGGGACAATGGTGCTGGTAGAAGCAGGTGACTGGGAACACAGAATCTGGGAAGCAGGAGAGAGCAGGACTGTTCTTTTCAACAACAGCAACTTGCGTTTACATTGTCTTGAACTGATGATCAAATTGTATCTTGGATCTCATCCCTGTTGTCTCCAGACTCTACCCTGGTAAATCACTTCTTTATGCCTATTTCTGTCTCACACAAGACAAAATCTTTAAATCTGAATTAGTCAGTTCATAAGCCCACACTACTGATAAAAGATGCCATTACTTCATGTATATATGTGGACTTTCTCTAGAAGGGTATTTTTCATTCTGGTCTTTTATAAAATGGAAGCTTTATATTCCCTCTGATAAATTTGGTGTAGGATGAGTATCTTTTAAATTTTGCCTACAAATAATTATAAAGAACAAAGCAGAAAATAATCAATAGGAAATGAGTGAGATCAAGGGAACAATTATCTTTGACAAGTGATGTCCAAGATCTGTGTAACCATTATTCTTAACATATATTAGGCATATTAAGAACATAATCCATAACAGATAGCAGGAATTTTCAGAGGCAACAGATATTTAATGCAGCTTACATTATGTATAACTTTGTAAACCACTACACTATTTGCCATTTTTTTTTTTTCAAATGTGGTTACCTTTCTGGAAGAATTCCTCTAATTTCTCCTTGAAGGGCTGGAGATGCTCTTCAGAAGACTCTCTGCAAACTAACTTCATCTGCTTTTCAGAGGCTACAAAAAGAAGTTGAGAGACATTTGTGGCAGAATTCATCTACCAGAAGTAGACGTCAACACTGTAGAAGCCTACATCTAAATTAGTCACCTAGGCTTACTTTAAAGGAAATGGAAATCAATAAGCACTAAGGAATCCAGCAATTACATTAAAATAAAAAATACCAATACTAGTATAGCATACCATATAAAAAATTCTATATGTGTTTAAAGAGTGGAATTTGTCTTTAGCAATGACTTTGTCCTAAAACTCCAGCTGTGTGCTGCGACTTGCCACTAACACAGCCTGCCTCACACACAAATTCTAGATGGTATTTAAAGCTCTAAACTTTGTTTCTTTGGTGAGTGGAGGATGCCTTGTATCTGGACTGATTTTAATCAATCAGTGCCAGGCATCCTATACTCAACCATTTTTCCTAACACAGATGCAGGAATTCAGCTTTACTTAAGTATTCAAATTCCAGGCCATGATAGGAAATAGTAGAAGTCTGTAGGAAAGTTAACTTACATCTAACTGCAAGTTTTTTACTATTTAATCTACCTGTTATTTTAAGTCCTGATGCCATGCCAATTTTTAAAAACTCCAGGTTATCTGCCAACAAATTTTAACATTCCTAGAACTTCTAGTAAACTTTGTAGAATCCAGCATTCCACATTAAAGATGAAATGAGATTGTTAAAAATCAAAATGCAATTACCTTCCATTTAGCAACTGAATTTATGAACTACTATAAGATTTTTTTTTTCCACAACTCTTCACTCCCAAGAAGGTATATTTAGATGGAAATTTATTTTGGAGTTAAACCCAAGAGTTACAGTTTGGCTGCATGAAACATATTCACACCGTATTGCTACCACCATTATATAATTCAACTTACTGCAGCAAAAATTAATACAAAACTGTGGCAACAGAAGCTGAGAATTTGTAATCAAAATGTCATGTTAATGTAAGTTTGCAGTGCAGTGAAAAAAGTCAACAGAAGGTTGAAAACAGATGCATACATTTTATTGTACAATTAGTAGTGTGTCTATAATACTCTTGGACCACCAGGGCTTACTAAAAAAGACAGCTTTTCCACTAATTTGAGATCAGAAATACATTTGGACAGTTGTTACAGAAAAATGCTGAAAAGATACCTGTTCCCACCTAAGTGTATATTTTAATTTAGCATGCCTCCACAACTCTCGTAGGTTGTGGATTATGACATTATTGGGGAGCTCTAGAGCTTATGTAAAATGTCCTGGGCTACTGTCTAAGTTTATCTTTAATCCCTAGTCTTGCAACTTATAGCATAAGACAGACCTTTGAAACTGTTCAGAGTAAAGTTAATGGATATTTGTTTGTATGCCAGATAGTAGGCAGAACAGAGCATTAATTTAAACATAACAGATTGGGAAAGAAAGTCTTTTATTAGCTGCCTAGTTATGTGTCTTTAATAAATTAAATTAAGCAAAACAAATCAGAAATCAGGGAAGTTTATATGACTTTCAAAGATTATTTTCTTATGATACATGCCTCTTTATCAAAAATGTGAACTTTCCGTGACTGCTATCATACACTGAATGAAATTTATGTATACCTAACTTTCATGTTTGTAGAACTAGAAGGAGATTTCTACAGCTATTCAAGCAAATTGTAACACTTTACTTTGGAAGAAAACGGACACATTAGAATTGCATAGGAGAAAAAATCTAGCAAAATAACTGAGACAGTATTGTTAAGTTTCTGACTGGAAGTTTGAACAAAGGAGCAGCTACGGGTTTGTGGTTTTTCTTTGTGTTTAAAAAAATCTACAGAAAATTATATAAGGCAATATTTAGAAATTAGTTTAGATAAATATAAAATGACAAAAGTGTAAAAGTATTAGTACACATATTATGTTCAGGCATTTGGTACACAGTGACTACAGAATGCACATGACTATTACAATCATGTAAGGTTGCAATGATTGCAAGCCAATAATTATTTTATAATAACCTTATATAAATAATTTTGTATAAATCTATACAGAAGTAGATTTCTATAAATATATATTGTAATAATAAGCTTGTAGCTACAGTGGTATCTAAACATACTCTAACATACTCTAGAAAGGTGTTTTCCCAAACATATGGTGTGGCTAATGCATTATCTGGAGTATTGAAAGCTTCCTAGATGCTTCCTACAAGCTTCAATAACACAAGATTTAGAAAGGTGAAAGGTTACTCAGATATGTCCCATGTAAATGTTTAAATGACCAAGACTAGGATGAATTGTTTCTAAATTAAAAAGAAAGCACATAAAAAATCTCTTTAATAAAATTTTTCTCTAATAAAGACGACTAACATTAACCTTAATCAGATGACAAGAGCTACAGGAAAATATGGACAAGAAGAAGTACCAGCTTATAGAGAAAAAGCTGATTTGGGTAGTGAATTCTTAAGAAGAATCCTAACAACCTTAACAAGAAGATCAACATCTGGCATGATGGGAGAGGAAGAGTAAGAAGAAAGGCACAGAAGAGAAGTGCAAATAAGACAGATGACATAGAATAAGTGAATCAGGGGTACTGATTAAAACTCTAAAAGTTTGAGACAAGATGAAATGAGATGAGATATCAGTTTGCATTGCTTAAGTCATCTTGAAACAATGAAACGGAAAGAGACAAAAGAAGTCAAGTAAATGCTGGCAGACTCTACTATTGGAAAGCCTTAAAAAGAGACCTTTGGACAATTCTCTCTGCTGATGATATTTATCTAGATGATATCTATCTAAAACTGAAATCTATCAGTTTACTTCCTGAAGTTCTTTCAGATAACTGCCAAAATAGACTGAAGGGCTCTGAGAAAGTTTTAGCTTTGAGCTAAAGGAATCAAGGACAAAGGTGATGAAGTGAAAATCTGTTAATCACAAAAGCAATGTATTTGCCCTATACTGCTTAATCCTCCTTTAACTGACTCTGAATTTAGGTTATACTTCACTCAATAACCTATACTTTTGGTCTACAAACAAACAAAAATGTATCTGGGCAACTGAAAGTTAACTAACCTGTTTAAAGTCAACTGCACTGAAATAGTTGAATAAAACTTGAATTTATTTACTTACTAACGTTAAAAATAAGACACATCACATAGGTGTGGAGTCACTGGCTGAAGGCAGTCATGAACTTCAGCTGCAACTGCAGTCTCAAAAATTTTGTATTCCTACTGAAATCCCTCCAGTCTCAGTCTTCCCTTCAATAATGGAATGTCCTATGCAGAATAATGATTCCTTGTCCAATACCTATAAGAAAACAATGGCTAGGACCACCAACCAGATGTATCTTTTAGGCTGAAGAACTTTGGAACATCATCAAATTTGCCTGGGGATAGATATGGCAAAGAATGGTGGAAGCGTGTTCAAAGGAATCACAAATCAGATACAAATAAAGACACACTTGGAAGAGGAAAAAGATTTTCATGACAGGGCTAAATCGAAGGTTTTGATTAAAATGGCAGTTGTAATTCCACATATTAAAGTCAGCTGGTGTTTGTCAACCTAGATTTGTAATATTGTTGAAAGGCTACCATACAACTCTACGACCTGCCTCAGTTCTACACAACATAATATAAAGGCTTCTGGTAACTAACATTCATTGAACTTCCTGCTACATAAGTTCTTTTTGTTTGTTTGTTTACTCAAAAATTTACTTGAAATATATTGTTTAAAAAAAATAATAAAATTATCAAGTCATGCCGAACATTATATAAAAAAATTAAAACTGAAAAGTCCTGTTCCATCATTTGCTCTGATTTTCTTTGCTAAAACTGCTACAACATGTGTGAAGGAACATTACATGATTTTTTAATATTTTGTTCTCCTATTCACTATAATAGAAACCCTTTCCTTTTTAAAATAAAGTTATTTTAGCAAGTTTTTTATTAGAATGATTCTGAGGTAAAGGATCGTATTATGCATTCCTTCTTTGAAATAAATTCTGAAATGCTTCTTTCTGAAAAAAATTTTCTGAAATTCTGAGGAATCTGAAGAAATTCTGAGGAATTTGACAGCTAGCACACCACACGTACACTTCTCCTTTCACCATCTCATTCCAAAATAATAATTTGAGAAAATAAATGACCTGTTTTAGCATTACTGAGTTCAAACAGATGCAAATTCTCCATTACTGTAATAAAGTTCGGGTTCATTTTCTTGGTATGCACTGTATGTTAGTGAAATTAAATGTAATATGCTACTTTGAAAATTGTTTATTTCTAAATGAGCTATTGCAAAAAAAGAAAATACGAGTGTGCAATACTATTTGAAAGCCCTTACAAATTGTTGGATGTACATCATGCTTCACCCACTGCAAATCTTGGCCACAGAAATGGAAACCATTAGCAAAACATTAAAACAAAGCTGGAAACTGCTGATTATCAGTTTGCCACTGTCTTCAGATTTAATGCAGTACTTGGCTCAAAAAGTTCTTTAAAAATCCCCAATATAAGTGAAAATATTTACAAAATAGAATGTCTCTCACTTAAAGCCTATTGGGCAATAGTCTTTTAAAACTCCACAGACACTTGTAAATCTGTCAAAAGAATCACTGCCCATAAACAAACTTTCACGTAAAGAGCATTTCAGTGTCAGTCAGACAGGATTTGGAATTTTTTAAGTACCATTTTTAAAGTAAACGCAAAACCAGAAATAGTTTAATGTTGATAACAGTAAATTACTAACTATTTACTCACCAGAACCCACCAGTAGCATTTACACGAATCATCCTGACAGTGAAACCAAGTACCAACACCATGAATTCCTATAAACCTGTCACTGACACTATCCCCCATGAGTTATGCCACTGTGAAAGCTGCTAAACCCCCCTCCTCCTCTTGTCTGTTCAGAGCCTGACAGGTTATACTGCCAAGCTTGCTATTTTATTTTCTTGTTATAATGCAGGCTTATCTTTGACAGGAGGGTTACTATTTGATAATTCTTTTTTAGAACACTTACCTTTTCTGTTTCAAAGGGGATTTGAAAAC